GCAGATAAAAACACATTTGGCTCCAGTTCAGCCGCTGTAGATAAAAGGCATTCAAAATACAGGGGCTGTGAACTCAGGAAATGCTGTTTGCGTTTGCCACACTAAATAACAGATTTGGCAACGCACTCCAACTTCAAGTGAAAGACAAGATGGCACCGCGCCACTTCAGATGAGCACGGAGGGGGAATCCTGGCATCGCAGCACCGAATCAGCTGTGTTGTTATTGCTACAAGACTCTATACACCAAACAGACAGTGTGCGATGCAAAACACATTCAACACATATTCAATATGCACTGTAACATGAATTAATGGGCAGATTAATTGGCTAAAAACATAAAATCATGAAAAAAAAATGGCAACGTGATTGAGTGGATGCACATGCCTTTTGTTAGAAGCGATTATGAACCAACATGCAGACAGGAAAAGAACAGTGGATTGATGAAATAACTCCAGTGAAATGGCTCGCAGCTACAGACTGAAATTGCGTTGCCACTGGTGCTATAATTATTTCATTAAAAGAAAAGAAGAAAAGTTTAATGTTTGCACTTAATAGCCTCAGGTGTTGTTGGACGTACTCCGTGGGCTTCTTAATAATGGCCAAGGATATGATAATGATTAATTGACTTAGAGCTAAAAGTTGCTTACTAAAATTCTTAAGTTGTATTTAATTCATTTCAAACAGATGTGTTCATTATAATGTATGACCTTCAGAGAAGTAAGCACAGCACAGTATGTATGGACACTAAAGCTGGGGTAACTAACTTTTTTCCATAAACAATACATTGTCTTTTGTCCCTTCAGTAAAAGTCACATTTTGAGAACAAATCTGGAGTCCTTTATCTACAGCCTGTCTGCCTGTGGGAGCAGATCCCCCTCAACATGAGCCTCTCCAAGGTTTTTCTCTTTCTGAGTTGTTCTTTGATGATGCAGGAGGGTCTAAGGACGATCCAGGACATTTATGGACATTTATTGACTTTTATGCACTTCCATTAACATTTATGGACAGTGGTCGGGACGCTCCCAATGGACCACTGCTCCTACATGTTTGTTATTTATTTTTCTTGTGTTTAAACTGTTTGGTTCTCTATTTGCCATCCTCAGTTGGCGAATCAATAACTTAAGTGCTCCAAGACTACTGCTGAGTGCAGTTGGTCCTCTTTTTTTCACATTTCTGTCTAAAAAATCTGATCTAAAGGTGTGTGCTCTAAACAGAAGAAAACTGTTTTAGAGCCAGGACCTAGGTATGTTCATTTTATTTCATAGCTCAATTATTTGTGATTTGAAAGTTAGGTACCCCAGCATTAAAAAAAAGAAAGAAAAACGCAAATGTATATTGTGAGGACCCTGAAGACTTGTCTCCATTGAAATTGCGCTGCTTGGAATATTATACTTATTGTCAATTATGGGTTATCGAGTCAAACGCATTCTGATGCATCTTTCCACAGCTGCACTACCACACTGAGCAAAAATATCCATGAAAACAATTGCACGAGTCTTCTCATCATAAATTACACTGTTAAAAGTTCTATATTAAGGTGCTAACACATGAAAAAATTAACAATACGCAAGAAATCTTTCCTGTAGCCTTTGAATACGAGTAACTACTTTCTGATGGAAGATTCAACTGATGAAAAAGGCAAGAGTAAAAGTTCATTCTGACATAAGTATCAGGGGAACTATTACATCTCAGTAGAAGCTTTGAAGTCTCTGAAGCGAGCTGTCGATATTTGTCAGGTTACCGCCGCCTAATTAAAACTAAATAGACGGATTACTTTTTCCAGCACATTTTCAATAAAAGGGGGAACCATCGCTTTCTTTGATCCACTATTCTTTTTCTGTGTGTGAAAGATTTGCAGGTAAAATGTGCAAAGCAAAGACCTGGGGAGCTTTGAGGCGTGAGTTCATTACAAGGCCTGGGTTGAGCAAAGGTGAGCAAAGAGAGGGCAATTCTGAAGGCACTGTTTGCTCTGCGTAGGATTTGTATGTACTCGACAAAGTAACTGGACATGAGACGACTTTTACAGTGTTTTTGAGCGTAAAGAGTCACACAAAAACACAAACCAATTCAAAACGTGCATATTATGAAATGACAGAAATGTGAATGATTATTGTGGTGCTTTGAACATTAAAGCTGGGGTACCTAACCTTTCAGACCACAACAAATGAAACAACATAAGTAAGAAAGTAAAGTTTATTTGTATGGCGCCTTTTACAGACCAGGATCACAATGCGCGTACATACATATAAAAAAATCAGATTTAATATAATCTTACTTACATTCATAATAGAATATTAGCTCTAAAAAAAACGTTTTTGCGTCTATCATTAGTTTTCACATCCATGTATTTTTGGCTTTTAAAGACGTAAAAGTCGGAAAAAAGAGGTTCACCCTCTCTCAGTCAACAGTTAACAAAGAATGTGTGTGTGTGTGCAAAGTGTGTGTGTTAAGTTGTAGATTGCCTTTTGTTTTAGTATTGTATATATATTTTATTTATTTATTTCAGGCAATGGCCCAGGTGAGTAAACAAGGTCATTAAATGCAGTTAAATAATATAAATCATATAATGCAAAAAACAGAAAATAATAATACCTGTACAATACCATGTACAGGTATTTTTTCTATTTTGTTCATTTTTTTTTAATAATAGTTTGTATATATAGTTTAAAATACATAAATCGAAAAAAAGCATGATGTGGTCTGATTTGCTGACATTGACTTTTACACGACTCTTTAAGTTGAGACGTAATGTATCATTTATCACACAAACAAGTTAGGTATCCCAGCTTTAACTTCCTCTTCCGGCCTTTACATTTGAGGCATGTACATACTTTTCCCACTACACAGATTGCATAGAGCTTTGCAGAATTGGCCCTAGGAACTCTCTCCTTCTCTCTTTCTGCACACTAACGCAACATGGACAAACCCGGCGTGCTAATCACATTGCAAAAAAAAATGTGATGCCGTGAATCTATAAGCAACGAGCAGACGCATTTCCCCTGAATGTGATTAAGCGGCGCATCGATCGAGCGCGCGTGGCCTTCCTCGCGTCTCCTGCTAAGCCCTCCATCCATCTATCAATCCATGTGCCTACCTGCATGCAACGCTCGCCCCCTCATTAGAGCCACCCACCGTGAATGGGTATGTCAGCCAAGTCCACCGTGGTCCACCCCCAGCCATTAGCATCAATCTTTGCTAAAAGATTGCTCCAGGTCTATTTCAGTTGAGCGTGTGTGTGTTGTGACAGCGTGCATCTGTGTGTGTGCGTGTGTGTGTGTGTGTGTGTGTGCGTGTGCGTGTAGTGGCTTTTATACAGGCGTGTGCAAAATGTACAGAAGGATCTTTGACCCAAGTGGAAAAACATGGCCCCACAGACATCAGAAGAAACAGGCATTGTGACTATGCATATCATTTCTAATCAAAAACAATGGGGGGAAACTGATTCTGTCAAATTTGTGTGCTTTCTGCCAGGGAGCGGGAAAGATTACCCATCAATTGCAATATTGGAGATGATTACGGAAATGTTTTTTTTTTTTTTCAATCTTCAAAGGCAGCCATGATGACTCTTGCTTGAATCTCATAGTCGTAATTGAAAATGACAAAGCACATAATCAAAATTTGTTGGATGGGTAAATAGTTGCAGATCTTGATGCAGAAGGACAAAACCTTGTATTGGTTTAAGACTCCTTTATTTTGGATAGAATTGACTGAAATATGAGGTTTTCTCATATGGAACTTTAGCATAGAATTTCTAAATGTGACATTGACAGGCAGGAAAGAATTCTACGGCTGAATGAAAACCTAGGTTGTTTTGTTAACCAGTCATATTTTAATATGAAAGCATACTTAAATCACAACTGCTCAAGTCCAGCACTTAGCTATGACTCAGATGCCATGTAATAAAGCGAATAGATAATGTTCATAAATTCAAAAGAAACCTTGTAGTTGTGCTTGAGAGTTTAAACACCCAGGCATATTTTTTGGATTTATATGGCCATACTTAGGAAATTATGAATTATAACACTCATAGTTGGTGGTTGTGTGAAGCCACTGGTTTCAAATTATACGAGAGAAACTACTCTTCTGACCCTGAAGGATGTGTAAATCCAGTTCTCATTATGTATCTCCAATATGACACAAGGCTTTTTCTGGTAGTTGTGGATGAGATTCTTTATTTTCTCTGGTATTTAAGCTCAGTTATTCTAGGAAAAAAGTCTCCAGCTCCTGTAAAATCTAGGGCCGCCTTGCATGGACCTCCGTTTGAGTTGAATTGCTAGAATTTTTTATTTTTTTTGGTAATGTACATGTATGGCTCAACACAAACACAAACAATGAGTTGAAAAAAAATATTTGTGGTTTTATTCAAAATGTCAGCAATATGGCCAAATACAAATGTGGCAAGAATTAAGGAGACACACACATTGCAAGTATGTGAACTTTTCTTCATTGAGTCAGCGTTAAGAATGAATATAAGATTATCTCTACATCTTCTGGATATCTCAACACTATAAGGACTAGAGTGCACTACAGTGTTTAACAGATTTATCAGCAGATATAGACATACAAGCTTATATTTCTTGCACTAGCGTATACAGTATTCAACAATTAGTTTCTTTATTAAGCTGAAGATAGAGATATTATGTTATGTTTTTTTTATATAAGTATAGAGTTATGCTATACTTAATATTCACTTATCTTGTGTTACCTGTGCTCCTCATTCATACTGTTGAGTAACTTGTGATGCAACACTGACATTTTCCTACTGTGGGACATAGCAAGGATAATTAATTCAACTTTCAAGCAAACCCCTATGCACATTTAGAAACTGAAAGAAAAGGACAAAGAGTAAGAGACGAAAACTAGGTATAATAACCCCTGCTCATTTAGTGCTAATCCCCCGATGTCATTCAGAGCCTTTCTCCTGATGTCTGCATATAGAGCCGCCGTGAGCCGCACGTGCACCCAGCGTAAACAGGCGTGAGTGTGTGGGGGGTACTCACGCTGGCACTGGCCCCAGGATCGTCGCGTCCAGCCCCAGCAGCAGTCCACTCTGGCGCCATAACGACACAGGCCAGTGGACGAGGCCATCTGCCGCGGCCACCTGTGAAACAGAGAGAGTCCGAATGACAACAGTGTCCGCACGCACAGCACGGGCCACCTGTGCGATCGGGACAGGCGAGTTCAAAGTTGTTCCAAACGTTTGAAGATTGTGCAGTGTTCCGTGTCTGTCCGAGTATTTTGCAATGACAAATACATAAAAAATGTGTTTGTATGATTACATTTGACCCTTTAAGCACAGAATTGCTTCATCAGCTCTTTAATCAAGGAAATGTTCTATCTTTTTATACAGCGATCTGGCTTAATTTTTCTAATGGGATGGGTATCTGTCTGAGCCTGCCGATACGATATGTATCACACATGACATATACCATATGGGGGGTTTGATACGATTCGGTACCATATCTTTCTCAACAATATGATATTGTTCCAGTAAAATGATTCTGCCCCTTTATTACCATTACAATAATTTTTATAAATGTGTATATAATTTATTGAAGATTCATCATTAAAGTCATCCTGAAGATAAAACATCAAATACCTATTCATTTGAAAAAAAAAACAAAGAAAAATATAAAAAACAAAATTAAGACATTTGAATGACTAAATATGAAGATAAATTGTATCTCTTTTTAAAGTATAATTTTGTTTCTTGCACACCGAAAAGGGTCCATAACAATGATTCTATCTCGTGATATGGGGAATAGGGAACAGTGTCTGGGGTAGACTGACCGGACCTGTGCCATCGGCCCTTCTGAACACCACCGACCATTCACTAACATGTCATTCTCAGTCTGGGTCATGTGGGTGATATAAAAGTGTCTTGCCCATGGACACAACAGGTTTGACTTCCCACTTTGACCCCTGTATCCTGGTCTCCCATTCCCCTGCACCGCTTAGCTTCTGAAATGTGACAAGCTTCTGCAACCGGTAAATGCCAATGATGTTGCCAAAACTTTAACTCTTGTGTACACTATAAAAAACACAGTATTTCTGTACAAATAGAAGCCATTGTTGCCCATCAGCACTGTTCTTGGTTTTCTTACAATAGTTCACTACAAGTTAAATATTTGCAACTGTTGTATCTTCTCCTCAGCAGAACACAAACCAGTATAGTGTTGGAGAAGGAATGCACTCTGAGTTATGTTTTAAAGAAAGAGTTTAATGGCATAATCAGAATACATCAAGTGCAATTCAGGCTTAGCGCTTTCAGCCTGGGTCAGCTCCGAGAATGATGATGGCATGACTGACCCCTAACACACAGAGGACTAGGATCTTATAGTTTAGTTGAAGAAGTCATAAGACACATTTTAACAACCATACATTCACAGGACCTAAATGTGTAGTCACATGATATCAGTGCTGTTCACACATATGAAGATCTCCATTGTTTACCCAGAGTCACGTCAGCCTCATTACTGAGAGAGAATGGTCAGCAGTCTTAGACATTAAGTGCTGACGTCCTCTCACATTCATTACATAGGAAGACCCATATATTTATGTAGAATTAAAGAATATTAATAATAGCAGATACCACACAACTATAGCTTGGAAAATGCTGAATACCTTGTCCCATTCCAAGCATAAGATTGTGAGAAGGACTTTTCAACCTGAGAGAAACTAAATATACATTTTGATGCATTCTTATCAGCAACAACAAAAACATTTACAATAACACAATTGGGCAGTTGTAGGCTGAAATTGTGTTTGTAATAAAAGCTAAAAGCATGGACTGAAGGGCTGAGGTGATAGGAATGGATTTGGAGAAATGCCAGCCGAAGCCTCTGTGCTTTGGTGTCATTAACAGAATAATGAGCTGGGTGTTTGTGGAGCTTAACCGCAGTCAGCCTCAGTCCCATCTGTGAAGAGACCAAGGCTGGCATCAGGAGAGAAAACAGAAGATGTCACACGCCTTAACCTCAAAGCTGCCATCGCTCTGAAGCTACGAAACCATTCCATTATCTCAAAGATCTAGAGAGGCTTCAGACACAGGGAGGGTGAGCAGCAGAGATGGACTGAAAACCCTCGCCAAACCTTCTCTCCAAACTGAGGAAAATACGTTGCATAGAGTTGTATGTTAAATGTATGAAGTGGAAGAAAACAATCTCACACTCTGTGCATACATCTATGTTTTTTATTTTTTATTTACAGATGTGCAATGTTTCGATCATGGGCTTTTGTCAATAAAATATGTATGAAGTCACAAAACAAATGCTTTACTATTGTGTTTCTATCTCCACATCATGTACATGTTACAAAACAAAACAGACTTTTAAGAACTTGTACAGAGTTTGTAGGGTTTGCGTTATCTTTGTTCTCCTCACTTCAGGATCATTGCTCTGACATTTCTGTTCACAAACACCAACTTGATTTTATTATTGTTTGGAAAAATTATAATAATTATTATATTTTTGGATTTCTTGATAGTACCAGACCAAAATACTTTACTATTGCATTCTTCGCCATTGCTAAACTACAACCAGCCCGTTCGGCGCAAACTCTTGACGTTGCCCACATCTAACTACAACACCCGCCTATTATATATATTACTGTAAACGGTATTTATCCAAACATATTTTGCAGGTGATAGAAGACATATGAGAGCTACACCATATTTTCATCTGTTTGGTAAATGCGACTGAAAAAAGCCATTTTCAGTGTCTGCAATAATGGCCGACATGAGCTATTTCATATCCACCAAGGAAGCATTATCACTCACGGGATGCTTTTAAACTATGATTGTATTCTTTTTTTCCCCATGTACAGTCTGCAGTAATGAGGTACTGTAGTCTAAGGACAGTCCCCAAAGAAAGAGGTAAACAAGCTATTTTGTTTCATTTGTCAAAACAAACAATTAGCTTCTGTACAAGTTTTTCCACACATTAGCGTTGAATGTTGTTGTTACACTGTGTTCTGTTCAATTAATAGCTCCCTGGCAGACGTCATGCAAAGGGATTACCGTGTGTATGTAAAGAACGCAGGATCAATCGTCACATGTTTGTGCTGAAAGGAGGGCGACATCAATGCATTTAAACGGTCTGAGTGTGGTATTATTTGAGGATTGTGGTAAAATAGTCAGAACAGTCTTTGCTGCGTGTTTGTGGAGCCCAGTATCCATAAGGAATTTTAGATTAGATGTTTTTATTTCAAAACTGCAAAACGCAAATAACATTTTGGGTGGTACCGTGGTGCAGTGGTTAGTGCTAGTGTATCTCACAGCAAGCAGGTTCTGGGTTTGATCCCACTTCTAGGCAGTTCTGTGTGGAGTTGCATGTTTTACCTGTGCCTGCATAGGTTTCCTCCAGGTGCTCTGGTTTTCCCTACAACTAAAAACATGTACAACAGATCTGGCTGCGCCTCCTGTGTACATGTGTGGAGTGAGAGGAAAATGCTCACAACAATGTTAATGCACTTTGTGACTCTGGTCTGTGAAAGGTGGTGGCACGGTGTCTGAGTGGTTCGCAATTATCAGCAAGAAGATTCTGAGTTTGAATCCCAGTCAGAACAGGGTCTTTCTGAGTGGAGTTTTTATGTTCTCCCTGTGTCTGCGTAGGTTTCCTCCGGGTGCTCAGGTTTCCCCTACCACTAAAACACATACAATAGGTCTGGCATGTGCCTCCTCACTCCCTTTTTTGATTTTCAAAACTAATGAAATAACCGTGATAATTTTAATGTTTCCTTTCGTGTTTTTAAAGTGCATTGAGTTGCCTTTTTATATGAATAGTGCTAAAACTAAACTTCCCTTTCCCTGCATTGCAAAAAAAAAAAAAATTAACAATGAAACCAATTATATATATTATATCTTTCCACCTATAATAAACAACCACTAGTTGAGGCAGGATGAGTTCACCTGTGTTTTGATAACAATTCAGTAAAAAATTCATCATTGTTGTTTGGTCTTTTTTTTCAACAATTAACCTGCATCATTGTAATTCATATAATCAGGTCTTTGGTTGAATATTCTCACATTGTATAATCCAAAATTTGCCTTCAACTTCTGAACTGAAGATTGATTCTTGAGCTTGCTGAATTATACATATAACATACATCAAACAGTCCTGCAATTAATATCCTTTCATCTACTTCTTTCATCTCAGTAACAGGATCTGTCCTTCATTGATCATTTCAAAAGACTGTCAAAAATGCTGTCAAAAATTTGAGATTTTTAATATAGGCTCCTGTTGATTGTGTGTTGTGTCTTGACGAGGGCTTTTTGGCTCAGTATTCCGAGCACGTCCTACGCCTCTCTGCTCTCCGGTTAGTGCCTCCATGCCAGGACTAGGAAATGCTAATGTCTGCTCCACTGCCAATCACGCAGTGGGGAGAGAAAGCAGACGGATGCTGAGTGAGAATGGCACATCCCGGGAAAATGTTTGTATACTGACTGTTGAGGAATTGAGGAAAACAGAAGTGAGGACGGAGGAAGGACTATTACATTTTTATCATGAATGGAGCCCCAGGAAAATAAAGTTCTATGCTCCAGAGGTGGGAATTTGGGTTTTCTCAAAGCGACCGAAGAGCCAATAAGGAGTGAGGCTGTGTGCAAGTATGTGTGTACACTTTAAAACACCAACCTCAGTGTTTTCCATGCACTGAAACAATAGAAATGTTTGCCACCTGCTGGTCATTTGAAGAACTGTACCATTTCAATGAAGGACGATTTGAGAGCTTGGTCCCTGTTTTACTTTTCAAAATCAACAAAAGGAGTACAGATCTATTCAAGCTTTGGTTTTGTTGAATTCAAAGATATCTGAAGGGTTATGGAAGCTAATAATAGGTCCTTGACATTTTTAGATTGTGTGCATTAGACCGATGGCATAAGACCCCTCCAGCCCGTAAAGCATTGTGGTATCGTGCAAGTCGAAGACCGTGTGTTTGGTGGATCCGCAATGATTACAATGAGAGCTTAGAAGAAGGTTGATTTCATACTGCACACAAAATATCTCCACACAAGCCTAAGGTGTATCGCTATACCGTGTATAAATCCGTTTCATGTCATGATTGAAATGAAATAATTTGAAATCCCACTGTATACTGAAGCCC